TGCTAATAGGATATTAAATAAAATAGCATATGTGCATATTTCTAAAATCTAAATACACTGGAACTAAAATCATTTCTATCTTAACAAAGCTGTGCAACAGGAATAGTGATGCCAGTACTGAGTAGTTTGTAAAACTGTTTTAAAACAGTTTTGAGAATGCCTTTCACTCTGCAACGGCGTGGCGGCCCGATCGCCACACACACAGCTGTGCCTCATCTTGGTCCTTGCCAGTCACACTGTAGTAACTCTATCATAGTGTATTGCACACTATCCCCTTCCAGGCTTCACCTTTATACATTTTATACAGAAAATGGAGAAAGGAAATAGAAATTATATCTCCTAGAAATTCTTCATCTTTTGATATTTTGAGGCTTATTCTCAGTATACTGCACATATGGTATAGAAATGAAGTATGTTTTATGTGTATATAGAGAAAAATAAAGTTTTAATAAATTTTTGTGTTGCATTTAACATCATATTGTGAAAATATCCCTAACGAATAATACTCTTAAATAATTTCTTCAAGCATATGAATAATTTTATAACTTCTGTGATAGTTTTCTGTTTTAGATTATTCAGTTCCAAGATGAATGTTGTGGTATACTCTTGTAACTCCAGCACTTAGGAGACAGAGGCACGAGGATCATTGTGATTCTAGGCTGGCCTGGGCTACATAGCAACACTCTCTCTTGGGAGGGCAGGGTGTGGAGGGATATATGTGTGTGTATGTGTTTAATATATATATTTAATTTCCAGTATTTAACTGTTGTAAACCATACTGTAGTGAATATTATGGCTTAGATTTTATACATACATAGATATTTTCAATTCAGGGAATTTCTGCCTGTATTTTTATGTATATACATGTGTAATAAGTACAAAATTATAAAGTTAGAATTAAAAAGATGATAGTTTCTCTTTTTGTAGTCAATGGAAATTGGAGAAATGGGAGAGGTATGTTGTGTGTACATGTTATAGTAAAGTAAATGGCAGTTAACAGATTGAGCTATAATGTGCTTAGCACAGTTCTAGGCACATAATACCCAACACTTACCAAACATTTAACTAACGGCCAGACTCTGTTGTAAGTACATTGTAGCCATTGTTTTAATCTTTACTAAAATTATGTAAGGTAAGTTCTATTACCTTACCTTATTGGACAAACTGAAGTATTGAGAGCTTAATTTTTTTTTGTCCAGTATTAGCTAATGATGAAATCAGAATTGAAACCCAAGTAGTATGGTTTTAGAATCTGTGGTGCCACCATACCCTTTAAACATGGATAGTATACAAAGTAAATGTTTTGAGTTTTCAATAAATACTCAGTACTGGCATCACTATTCCTGTTGCACAGCTTTGTTAAGATAGAAATGATTTTAGTTACAGTGTATTTAGATTTTGGAAATATGCATATATGCTATTTTATTTAATATCCTGTTAGCAAATGCATTCATGTGTCTGCCATGAAACATGTTCACTTTACATGAGGTTAAAGAGAAATAGCCAAATGCCAGCATATTCTCTAAATGAACTATGCAAATCTTTTTTCTTTTTAGAATTTTGGTTAAGGGCTTTTGTAGACTTGTATAAAATTATTATTGTAATGCCTGTCAGTTGAAGTACTCAGTGTAAAGTGGTGGGTATCCCTACATACTATTAGTCATGGTTTTCAGGTACTTAACGTACTCATACATTTAGAAAATTAGTGAATCATATAGGGTTAGGGAAACTTTTTCACATCATGATCTGAGGAAGGAAAGGTACCTACGTTTTGCAGTATTTTTGATCTTCCCTGAATGAGAATAATGGAGGACTGTATGTGGTAGCCTTCTGTGTCTTCTCTGTTGCAAATGTAGGGTTATCTAGTTTAATGCTTCTGTCCTTCTGTCCATGCATAGCCCCATTATACAGAGTTTTAGAGTTGTTCGTCTTGTGTTTTCACCCTTTCACAGATCTTAGTAAAATAGTGTTCAGAATTGTCCTGCTGTCATTCAGCAGCACCCTGGAAGAGAGAAAACCTCTTTTGCAAATGGTACTGGTAAAACTGGCAATACACAACAAAGATTGAGTCTGCATCTGTATCTCTCACCATGAACTAAAAAAAAGATCAAAGAGCTAAATGTTGAAACAAAACAATTTGTTGGAAGATGAAGTAAGTAAAACTCTTGAAGACATAGGCATAGGCAAGGCCTCTGAACCTCAGTGAATCATCAAATGAACTTCTGTACAGCAAAGGTAACATCCAGCAGAGTGAAGAGAAAACCCATAGAATAGGACAAGACCTTTGACAGTCACTTCTTGGATAGGTGACTAATGTCTAGACTATATAAAGAACTGAAAAGAATTAAACCTCCCCAGAATGAAAAATCCAGACAAAAAATGAGCAGCTAAAATTAATAGACCCTTCTCAGAAGCAGAAGTCAGTTGATCAATTAATACATGAAAAATGTTCAACATTTCTGGCCATTAGAGAAAGACAAAGTAAAACAGTACTGAGATTCATTTTACCTCAGAAAGAATACCTGTCATCAAGACATCAAATAAGAGTTGCTGGCAAAACTATGGAGGAAAAGCAATCCTCCTACACTGTTGGAGGGAATGTAAACTAATTCAACCACTATGGAAATCAGTATGGAGATTCCCCAAGGAACTAAAAATAGAATTCCATTCAACCAGCTATTTCCCTTGTAGGTATCTTTCCAAAAGAGGTAATGACATCATGTTAAAGTGATAGATACATACATACCTATTTTTAAAGCATCACAGCTCATAAAAACTAAATCTTGGAAGCAGCCTATTTTCATCAACAGATGAATGAGTAAAGAAAATATGGTATTTATAAGGAATGGAGTACTCTAAGAAGAATAAATTTGAATCATTAGTAGGAAGATGGATGTGACTCGAGACAATAATGTTAAGTGAAATAAATCATACACAAAAGCTTAAATATCACATGATTTGTCTTATATGAGAAACCAAAGTTATAAAAATTTAAAGAGCAAAGCAAAAGATAGATAGTACAAAACAGGAAGATAAATCTTTTGCAAATGAGAAAGGAACCAAGAGATGGAGGGAGGAAAAGGAGAAGTAAAAAGAATTAAGATATGTTATGTATATATAGCAACTCCTAATAATGAATGTAATCACTATGTATACTGCAAATAATTCAATACAGTTTTTTAAAAAAATGAGCAAAATTCTGGTAAGAGTATGAGGTGGATCAAGTAGGTAACTACCTTTTAGGAAAATAAACTGGCAATATGAATAGAGAGATTTAAAAATTTCAATACAGTTTTATAAATTTTAAGTTGTTAATTGACTAGTTATAATTGTATACACTTATGGGGTATAATGTGATATTATTGTACATCTATATAATGTGGAATGATTAATTCAAGCTAATTAGCTTACCCCCAGAAAAAAGCTTTTCTATACTTTCCTTAAGCATCATTTCTCCAGATATAACCAATAAAGTCTACATTGATAATTGAACTTGAAGTACTGTACTTCTTTCTACCCGTTATTTTAATTGATGAAAAACTGCGATCAGAGTCATTGTAACTACAGGATTTGACAATTGGCAAGAAAAACTCGATACTGTACACTGAATATAGACCTAATACTTATACTACAGTCTGATGAATTTGGTAAAAGCACTTGATAATGCTGCTTTGTTATTGAGATTAACTTTTTAAAAAAGATCTTTGCATTTGAATTTAAATGTATTCTATATCATTGGAAATATCAAATTGTTTACAGATATATATATACTTTGTTCTGTTCTTCTGCTTATTAGTATAGAATGTTAACTCTAAATTATTGTATCAAATACCTGAGAAGGTTGTATTAGAAAGGAGTTATTTTGGTTCACAGTTGTGGAGGTTTTAGTTTGTGAGCAATTGGTCCTATTGCTTTGGAGCCTTTGGTGAGGTAGCATGTGGTGGGGGTACATGTGGAGTAAAGCTGTTACCTACTGGCCAGGACATGAAAAAAGAAAAAAAGAGACTGGAGTCTCACAAACCTTCTCCGAGTCACTCTCCAACAACCAAAAGATCTCCAAGGTGTCCCCTTCTTAAAGGCTCTCCACCTCTCAAGACTGCCACACTGGCGACCAACACTTTACCACATGTGCCTTTGGGGGACACTTAAGATCCAAATTATAGCAAGTAGTATTTGTCTTCTCTATCCCAGCCTCTTAATAACTGGAAATATTGTCACTGTTTGCCTTACACTTTGGTTGTTTAGCTTCAGTTGTATAGCAGATCCAACGAGCTGGAAAGGCCCATCAAACTTACCTAGTTGAACTAAGAGAGACAGAAATAGAAATAAAATCAATTTGTTGAGAGTGAGAAAGAGGTTTTATGTGTTGTATTTGATACTTTATGATCCATAACTGAAATGTAAAATGCAGAAATACATGTTCCTTTTTTATTATTGTTTTTGGGAGGGCTGTGTAAAGTCTACAATTTTTAAAGTAATTGATCTTATTTGTTCTTCAGCATGTGTTGGGGGGTTGAGAGTCATGGGATAGTGTGTAGAATAAAGAATGAAAAATAGATCATTTTCAGTTTTATTTCATATCAGTTAGTCCCTGAAGAACGTACTTGTTTTGGCAGCCGGCATTCCTTATAGCATTATGTTGGAATTCCTTATAGCATTATGTTGCATTGTTGCCTAATACCTATTTCCTGCATTTTGTACATTTTCGTCAATTTCTTAGAAATTGGAGATACTGAGTTTTAATTCCAGAGCAGGAAACTTATATAATGTAGAATAAGTAACCGATGGTGCTCACAAATGTAGTTACTGATTTGGCATATGGTCACTAATGTAACTTTTTAACCTGAAATTATTTAATTTAGGACCTTAGAATTTGAGCTGCATTGAAACCATTGATAATTGGCATTTATTTATTTTTTTTACAGAGAGAAAAAGGAAAAATGGACTGAAAGAAGTATTATGTTGTATTTTAAAAGTTGTATTTTTTTCATCTTTTCTAGGTTGCTGTAGTAAAACTAAAAAATGCTGATAAGGTATTTGCCATGAAAATTCTGAATAAATGGGAAATGCTGAAAAGAGCTGAGGTAAGAATCTTAAATATTTTAAAGACATTTGTGGGCATTTAGGTTGTTACTGTAATTTTACGATAGGAAAGTACAATTTTTATATTTAACATGTGTTAGAGCATTTAGTCATGTTAATTCCTTTTTTTTTTTTTTTTTTTTGTCTTTTTCCTTTTTATCGGTACCGGGGATCGAACTCAGACTGCCTGCTTTCAAGGCAGGCGCTTATGCCGCTGAGCTAAACCCCCAGCCCCTGGTCATGTTAATTCTTAAATGGTATAATCAAACTCTTAATAAATTTTTCTCACCAAATCTATATTTTAAATTGAGAGAAAATAAAACATCAAAAATAGTCTTGTCACCAAGAAATGTATCCAATGTAAATTTTGAAAGGAGGAGCTACAAAGTACTCTTAATCAGAGATACTGCTGTGGGCTACCCTAGGTACTCCAGTTTGTATATACTGAGGTTGAAATGATTTTAAGGGTAATTTTCTACATTAAGAGATTTGTCATGTTGTGCCGACTGGTACAGAACTTACCCATTTCTCAAATTTAATATCTTTGCTACTAAAACTCTTGGGCTAGAGCTGGGGAATAATAGTACATTTAAACTCTGATAGGATTTGCTTCAGAATAAATTGTCTTCTAGAAAAGTTGGACCAGTATATATTTAGATTCAAAATGTACCCGTTTTCACTTGGAAATTATGAGTGTTGTCAAATGTCTCTTTCTTTATATCAAAAAGTATTTTTTACTGACACGCTAAAAAAACACTGATATTTCTCATGTTTGGTTTGGCCACCAAATATGTAAAATGGATACTTAAAAGTAAAATGATGTTATGCTATATTAAGACCTTATTTTTGGAATTTTTGCATTTTTCAATTTAAAATTCCATTTATTTTATTTTTGTCCTTCAGAGGCTGGTTTATTTTATTCTGTGTTATTTTTTAACCATGAAAATTTTGACTTTGTCCTTATTAGATATTATATCAGAGAGAAACATTCAGTTTTTTTAGAAGTACTTTTCTGTGATAATACTCTTCTGAAAGAGAGGACTTTATTCCTAGTAAATAAGAAGCCAGAGTGGATATAATCATCTGTAAATTTTCTCATGTGACACATGATTTCCAAGTATATATGTAGTTTTATTGTGCTACATCAGATCATTAATTTGATGAAGGCACTTCTATGAGTATACTGAAGAGAATCATGTGACAGTATAGAATTACTATTACTTTTATATATGGTCCTTATTAATTTAAGTTTTAATGTAAATATTCCTTCTGTTTTTTTATTCAGTAGTCTTTTAAGGGTGATATTTGAATAATGTGTTATGAAATATAGAAAAATATAATGTGTATAGCAGCTGCATCACTATGGCAAGCAGAGTGTTGGGTTAAACATTTGAGAAAGTGAGTGATTGAATCTGAAGAAGCTATGTTTTCCAATAACCTTTCCTACATGTTTGTTGCATTCTTAGATTCAATTATCTTGCTTTTAATGGAGGAAAATTTTAAAACATATTTTTTAAAAAGGTAATTGAAGTAGACATTATTATATCCTTTAACCATTTGAATTCCCTGAACACTGTATGAACCCCTGGATTTATATGTGTCATGGTTTGGTTAATACTGATCTAGAACAGGGCTTCCTTTTGACCTTTGGGGCTGGGTATTTCTTTGTTGTGAATGCTGTCTTGTACATTCCAGGTTTAGTAGCATCCTTGGCCTCTACTCACTAGATATTATTAGTTCAGCAGTTGTTATAATCAGATAGGGACAATGTGACAAGGGTGGAAAAGAGGTAGAATGTTTACAGACATTCTGTGCTTTATACCTAGACTTAGTATCTGAGGTACTAATCAGAATAGCTTAATAGCTAAATGTTTATGAGTGGAATCATATGATTTATAGAATTGCTTTAAATAGTATGTGTGTGTCTGTATGTACTTGTGGAGCTGAAGGCTGGTGGTAAAGGCTGAATTTGTAATGAAACAAGATTGACCAATAAAATAATTGAAATTGCATGATAATCCTTTGGGAACAAAGGGTTGTCATACTAGTTTCTCTACTTTTGTGTACGTTTGAAATTTTATATTATAGTTTATTATGTATTTTTATAAACTTTTTAGCATAGACTAACACTCACAGTTCAGTCTTCTTTTGGAGACTTTGGAGTTTCAGTTACTTTGAAGTCATAAATCATGAAATGACGAGTCTAGTTTGAGTCTCTGGAATTTCAGATAGCTGTTAATAATAAGATAAAGCCTGAAGACAGGAGTCTCCTAGGCTTTGACAGCCTTTATAACTTCTCTAAAATGTTAGTAGTTAACTATAACTTCATTTCAGTTCAGTTTTAAAATTGAACTGAGTGATAAGTCGATTACATGGTTTTGTTTTCTCCTTAAATGAACTGAAGCAGGTAAAACTGTCCATTTAAATTGGTTTAATTAAGCTTTATTTGTTCTAGTGTTTTCTCATATGTTGCCATTTAACGTCTGATTTTGGGAATTCTGTGTGCCCAAGTAAAGTTTATTTGGAAGTTGTTAAGATTGATTGTATAACACTGTTATTTTGTAGATCATGACTATTTAACTTACCTTGTGAGAGGTAATAACAAAGCACCTGTTACATATAGAATACTGTGTGATAACATGATATATCCATTAAGAAATATTAGGTAGGGTTCTATGTACTAAGACAGAAAGGTGTTCCAATATCTTGTTACTTGGGCAAACAAACAGTTATAGAGCACTATGATCTCATTTGTGTAAACCGAAAAAAAAAAACCAAAGGAGAAGTGGGATACTATATGAATATGGTATGTGTGTTTATGTATATGCTGAGATTTTCTGAGAGTATACAGAACACAAGAATTGAAGGTAATAACTTTTGAACACAACAGTTTAACAATGAAATTGTGGGGTTATGGCTTAGGGAGACCTTTACTTTCTATATTTTCCTTCAGTTCTTAAGTTTCTAGTATAGAATTTTCATTTTTAACTAAAAATTAAAGATTATATATTATACAAAATTATTTTTTACTGTTTCTATGATTTTTCCAGGATATACTTTTATAATAGTGGAGCTATATTCTTCAAATAAATTAAAACTTTAACAAATCAGTAAAAAAAAAAAAAAAAGAGAAAATGGACAAAGGAGATGAACATCCATTTTGAAAGTTCATGTGTGCAATAAGTATATATAAGGCTATTCATGTACAACTGTAATTGAGAATATGTTAATTAAAAGAACAATGAGATGTAGTTTCAAACCCATTATATTGACAGCCACTTAAAAGTCTAATAATGCCAAATGTGGTTAAAAAATGTGGGGCCCAGGGGAGCTTTGTACACTGTGGTAGGTGTTATTTAATTAGGAAAAGAAAATTGCTATCATTGGTAAAGTTGAAATTTGCTTATATATGGAATTTCTACTCTTAAGTATATACCGTAGAGCAGCTATTGTACACATTTACAGATACTATTATTGTAATAACACAAACTGGAAAAAACGTACATTCCAGTGATTGGGGTTTACATCTGTTAGTTCTAGTATCCTCAAACAATGGAATACCATAACAGTTAAAAGGGAAATAGTCATTATTGAGTAAAAAAGTAATGAAGTAGCAAAATGGTAAAATTATAATATTCATGTAAATTTTCAAATACAAATTATTTCTCTTGTTTTGGACATACATGCATGTGTGGTAGTATATAGTTAGTATATAGTTACGTGGTAATATCTTTAAATTATTTATTACATTTGGGAAGGAAAGGAGGAGAATGGGTAGGAAGAAGGCTCACAACTTTAAAAATAAGGCCAGAAGGAAGTGGGCAAAATGTGAACATTTACATTATCTGGGTGGTAGTTTGGTCTGTGTTTGTTAGTTAAATTATTCTTTGCATCCTTGGTATTTTGAACCATATTAACAGTATTTTTTCGTATAAATCATTTTCCTAAGTGATTTATCCCAGGAGTTCAGTTTCTACTTTGAAACTTGAGTTGTGGAAAAGTCATTTAATATTGAATGTATTCCTTTTCCAGAGTAGAAGTAATGTAGCAGCTGTTTGTATATTTCCTACCTTCATGTAAAGTGTTCTGTAAAAATTTTTTCCCTTCCTTTTCAGACAGCATGTTTTCGTGAAGAAAGGGATGTGCTAGTGAATGGAGACAATAAGTGGATTACAACTTTGCACTATGCTTTCCAGGATGACAATAATTTAGTAAGAATCATTTTTATATGTTTTTGTATCCTAGTAATTTTTGATGGCAGAATCTCATGTTATTTTCTTTTTAAATATTATTTAAATGATTCTAAATAGGGAAAGCACTACATTTCGTGGGAGTATAAGTTAAATATATAATATAAACATTTTGTATTCTGGCTGATTCAGTTTCTTGCCATTGGAATACAAGCAAGTCAAAAGTCAGTTGAAACTGATTTAATTTCAATCATGTATATTTTATAAGAAGGTATTCAGAATTCTTCATTTTTATAATTTTCTCAGTGTATTCATAGTGATCTGTTCCTTTTTAGATTTTTACTTATTTGTCATAGAGGTCATGTACCACATTTATATTCACATTATGAACCATTTCACAAAAATTGGATGAGATCTTGAAAGAAAATAAAAATGTTAGAAACTCTACCAATTGAGAGTAAATAAGGATATAGAGGGAAATGAGCTGTTGAGATAGTGCACACTTCTAATTCCAGCTACTCAGGAGGCTGAATCAAAAGGACACAGTTCAAAGCCAACTTAGCAATACCCTGTTTCAAAAAGGACTGCGGTTGTAACTCAGTGGTAGAACACCTGCCTACCATTAGCAAGGCCCAAGGTGAAATCCTCACTGCTACCCTGAGAGGGAGAGGGAGAGTTTATTTAGCGTACATACACTGATAAAATCTGGGATGTAAAATCTACTAGGATATATTTTCACAAATATTTGTTTGAATGTGTGCTGTGTGTTGAGTACTGTTCTCTTGATTCTGGAGACATAGCAGTAACACAGATGAAGGCCCTGGCAGTGCTGTTATAGTCACATGAGAGGAACCAAAGGATAAGTTAAAAGGCAGGCAAATAATATTTCCATGTTTCAGATGATGAAAATATAACATTTATTTAAAGGCATTAAATAAACGATTCTTTTAAAATAAATATAAATTAGCTAAATTGAGAAAGAAAAAGAGGCAGAGAGGACTTAGCAAGCAAAAGCATAGAGATTGGAAACAGTTTGTTCCATTCATATTGATGGAAAATGGATTAAGCAGATGGAGGATGACGGAAGAGGAATGAGAAAGTCACATTGTCCTTTATATGTTTTGCTAAGTAAATAAGGCTTCCAAAACCATGTTTTAAGTTTGTATTTTTTTTGGTCATGGGACTCTAGTGTATGTTATTTTTAATGACATATCTAAAACTTAGACCGTAAAGCATATTGTACTGGAAATGCCTTTAACTGGTCTCTTCTCCCTTCTTTTGCTTTCTTTCAGTGTTACTCAGAGGTCCCTTGTGAAACAAAATTTGAAAACTCTTCTGGTAATACTGTAGGAGGAAGGGAGTTGGGTTGTCTTGAGGCATGAGAGGAAGGCATAGCATATAGGGCAAGAGAGTTATACGCTAACTATAAATCATTACAGTTATAGAGTATAAGTCATGCCAAGAAGTCGGATTTTATTCTGATTTCAAGGATAGTGAGATAGCTTTTCATTTTACACAGAACATGCAGGCAGCAGTTTTGTGTATATATTTCAGGGGAAAAACTAGAGGCAAGGAGACTAGAAGAATTATAATATTCAGGTGATAGATGATAAGGATTTGAGTAAACATGATAATGTCCAAGTAGAGATGAAGAAAAGGGCATGGGTTTAGGCACAGTTCAGGAATAAATAATTAGAACTTTTGTATTTTAATAAAATGCAAATAGATATTAATAAAGATATAAAAGTACTCTTCTGTGAAAAAAATAAATCAGAATTTCAAAACAAAGTTGCGAATATCAATGGTTAACATATTGTGTGTCATGATCTTAAAAGAATGACCAAAATGTTACTCATTTGTTTCATTTATAATACTAATTTCCTTTGTTCCTTGAAAAGGAAGTTTTGTTTTTTGTTTGTTTCTTCTTTGTAAGAGTGGGGGTTTTTTATTGTCTATGTCTTGTACTCTAAGTAACATTTGGCCATGGGAGAGGGTTCACAACTATCCCCTTTTGTCTAGGGTCTCCCTTATGGGATTTACCGGTTAGTTGGTGATGAACTGAAGAATGCTAGAAAGGAGAAAAATTAGTGTATGGGAATATGATCACTTCAATTTGGAGTATGTTAGGTTTGAATTGTCCTGTGATCCATTCAGTGGGTTTGATGTATAATTTTTGTGCTTTTAGAGAATAAATAGTACTACAGAGTTTTAAGCTTACTCTGTTCCATATCCTATTTGGGTAGTTTACAAGCTAAAAATCATCTTTACATTTTAAAATAGTTGAAAATCAAAAGAGTATTATTTTGTGATACATGAATATTAAATTTTAAACCTCAGTCTGCATAAAATTGTATTGGAACATAGCTACACTTACTGATTTATGTATATTTTTTGTAAACTACAGTGACAGTTATTACTTGGTAGCATTTGATCACTGTACATATTACTGTACTGTGACATTTTATTATTTTTATTAATAGTGGATGCTCATATTAAAGGAAAAAGAGTAGTCTTCAGATTTGCTTCAATTCATAGGAGGGTAGATTGTTTTAAAATGAAGTAAGTGGCAAAGCATTGTGTTTCTTATGCAACCGGACTGCAGCTGAACTGGTAGAATATAGTACTATACAGTATGTGTTTACATGGCCTGAATAGGCACTTATCACCACATTCTCAATCCACAGGAAAGAAGTGATCAGAAAAGTTAGAAAATTAGAAACAGAATTTCTTAGCGCAGTATAATTTCTTTTCTTTTTTCTTTTTTTTTGTCTTTTTCCTTTTTATCGGTACCGGGGATCGAACCCATGACTGCCTGCTTGCAAGGCAGACACTTATGCCGCTGAGCTAAATCCCCAGCCCCTAGCATAATTTCTTTTCAAAAGCAAAAAACATGAATGAGTCTGGGAAAATATACTCAAATAAATGTCAAAGACAGCCATTTGTCAAGAACAGTTGCTTGAAGAATTGAGAACTTCGGGAGCAACATTGGTTTAATCTTAAAAGTAGGAGAAAGGAAGTTTATGTTCCCTTTTCTTACATATGTACCTATATGATATTGATTTTGCCTCATGGCCTGTCAGGCCTCTGTAATATTTACTGTCTGGTCTTTTATGGTAAAAGTTGGCCATTCCAGGTAATAATGAATGTGAAGAGTGAACATGTGTAACTGAATAGTACTTGCGAAATGTGAAAACAAGTGTACCTGCAGAAGATGGAGATGAGGAACCCAAAAAATAACTAATAGAAATGGTCATAGAAAGAAAGAAGACCAAAATACTATATCATGGAAACTAAAGAAAGGATAAAGGGTTAGAAGGTGCTTTCCTAGCGTGCTTGAATGTAATTGCCAACAATGACAACAACACATATACAAATAACACACACAAGCAAAGGAAATGGGTAGTAGTGTTAAATATAGTATTGGATTAATTTAAAAAGAAGACCAAAAATATTTTGCTTTCCCACAAATCTTACACCAAACAGCTTCAGTGGAATATCTTTCATTCCTAGAACGATCTCTGTACTCTATAATTTGCCTGTAATACCTGGGCCATTTCTCTTCCCTTACTTCTGTTGAAGTCCAGCTAACATTTTAAAATTGTGCCTCAGTTTTCTATCTTGAAATAATCATTTCCAGAATTTCCATGTGTAATTAAACTGTCTTATCTCATTTTAGCTTGTCCTCCTCCTTTTCTTTTTTTGAGGTGATGGTGATATTGGGGCTTGAACAGAAGGCCTTTGCAATGAGCTACCTCCTCATTCCTTTAATGATTTGGTTTTGTTTTGAGATAGAGTCTCACTAAACCACTAAATTGCTCACATGAGACTTGAACTTGCCTCTCATGTTGCTAGGATAGCAGGTATGTGCCACTGTGCCTGGCTTTACAAAAGTAACTGTACTGCTGTTGCACAACTAAAACACATTGTAAACAATATTTCCAATTTTGTGCTAGAGCTGTAGAAAGAATTAAATGATCTTCGGCTAAGATAAAACTCAAGGCTTATCTAAGTCTGTAGTAATCATGAGAAAGGGGCTGTGGTTGCGGTTAGTGGTAGAACACTTGGCTAGCATGATGGAGACCCACAGTTCTATCCCCAGCACTGCCAAAAAAGCCCCACATTTACACACACACACACACGTATATGCTCACATATAAATAGTTGTGGGGTTAATCTGATTATAGGCCAGATCCTGGTAATTGAACAATATTTTTGCAGTCCTTCCTTTATATCCCATACGTGCTTATAGAATATTATAATGTTAGGGGCTGGGGATTTAGCTCAGCAGCATAAGCATCTGCCTTGTAAGCAGGCAGTTGTGAGTTCGATCCCTGGTACCGATAAAAAGGAAAAAGACCAAAAAAAAAGAATATTATAATATTTTTGCAGATTGCTGGTTGTGACCCATTAGTGGGTTTTAAAATCAAGTTAGTGGGTTACAAATGGTATTTAAGAAGTTAAATAGGTAAGAAAATGACAGTGTTCATAGCAATTACTAAGTAAATATTGTTTTGTGACACATACACAGTGTATTGAATCATTATGTAGATCAGATATATTATTGTGAATTATAATCTGACTTGTTTAAAAGCAACAGATTTTTGTATGTATTGGTAGCTCAGTTACTAAATTATGAAGTGTAAGGGATGATTGTACCAAGCAGATATAATCTGCATAAATGTATCAGCAAAATCCATGAGTAAATTAATTACATAGCAAGTATTTGCTGTGGAAAGCCATAGCATTTATAATCTTTAAATTTTCAGATAAATTAAGAGTTAACATCCCCCATTACAATGTAATCCATAATAGATAAAACACTGTAGATTTAAGCATCCCTTAAATCTACATTTTGTTATAAATATGGAAATAACTATAAAAACTTGTAGATCTAGAAATAGGGCCCAAGTGCCAAATTTCATATAGTACAGTTTTGCCAAAACTTTGAAGAGAAAGCCTGAACTGTGATTTATAATTGTCTTCTCTGATTTTAGTCTGATCTGCACTCTCTTTGCATTTGA